AATTATATGTGTAAATGTGGATCATTCACACGTCTGTTCACAGCTCATTTACATATCAATACTGGTCCAGAAACAAATATACGAACAATATAATCACTTTACAACAGACAAATAGAAAACAGACTGATTATGTGCGAGAGACACAGCAGATAATTAACAACAAATAATCAAAACCAGCTTCAAAGTCGATGTATTTCAACACTCAGACTCACACAGGCTCCTCCCACATCACACAGGCTCCTCCCACATCACACAGGCTCCTCCCACATCACACAGGCTCCTCCCACATCACACAGGCTCCTCCCACATCACACAGGCTCCTCCCACATCACAAGTCTGAACTAATAAATGTCCTTTTAATCCAGACTCAAACTGATTGTCCGAAAAAAGAAAATAATGTCAGTGTTGCACATGGATCTGTGTGTGTGTGTGTAAACAAACACATGTGACTCTGTGGTGTGTTCAGGGACAGTACGACACACACACACACACACACACAGACAAATGACTCCGTAGATAAATCCTGATGTGGAGCCACATATTTGGACATTTATCTGTAAATTGGATTAAATGAACAGAATGTAGAGAGTCTAAACTTTATAACGAGGTAAAACCTGCTCACGTGAAATATCGGCCCATATCAGCAAACATATCAGCCGATATGTCTTCAGGTGCCCATATCGGCCAATAATATTGGCCCGCCGATATATCGGTCGGGCTTTACTTTACACTCTGCTCATGTTTGTGGCTTCAGATCTTTCTCTTTATTTCTCTTTCTTTTTCTTCTGTGTAATAACGTCTCTGTGTCTCTGTTTTTACTCTGATACAAACTTGAGCTGCTCAGTCTTGATCTTGATCGATGTTTCTTCTGATCGATGGATAATGTCTGTGAAGTGATGACGTATTTTTGACAGTAAAGTTCCGTCTGTGAATTCGTATTCGTACTGATGAAAGTGTAATCGTAATTTTTCATTTCGTGATTGTAATTCTTGACGTTGTAACTTTTCAGTTCGTATTCTGATGGATAAAATACACACAATATATTTTATGTACGACTGGACTCATTTAAGAGTTTACAAATATTTATTTTATGCGCAACTACAGACAAATCTGCACCGATTTCTATTTTATACGCACGAATATTTTTGACAGCTTCTTACTCCATATCTGTGTCTCTGGATACTCGTCTGTGATTGGTTAATGCGAAAGTTTCAGTATTTTCAACTTGTGACGGTTCTGAACGAGCCGCAGACTTGTACTGCCACAGCCGCCCTGGGACAGACGGAGGAATCTGAGTTCTGCCTGCAGTTTGAGTGAAGCGTCGAAGTGTCGCTCACAACTTCTGTGAACTTCTCTGATCTGACCAAGACTTTAAAGGTTTGAGAGACGAGCTGGTGTTAAATGTGCAGGTGTGTTTGTGCGTGTGAATGAAACAAAACACAAAATCAGAGACTCGTGTCAAATTTGTCTTTTAGTCACGTTTGTCTGTTTTGTTTTGAAACTGGAACATTTCATCAGAAGCACAAACCAGAGGACAAACAGAGGAAGTCCGGAGCCACACGTCGAGAGAGAAAAACTAAAACCCACACACAAACTGGAACACACACCTGACACACACACACACACACACACACACACACACACCAGACACGCACACACACACCAGACACACACACACACACACACACACCAGACACGCACACACCAGACACACACACACACACCACACACACACACACACACCAGACACGCACACACCAGACACACACACACACACACACCAGACACACACACACACACACAGACACACACACACACACACACACACACACACACACACCACACACACACACACACACACACACACACACACACACACCACACACACACACACACACACACACACACCAGACACGCACACACACACACCAGACACACACACACACACACACACACACACACACACACACACACACCAGACACGCACACGCAGCTGTGAATGTGCCACCTACAACAACAAACTCTCTCTGCACTACGCCTCTTCAAGTCTGTTTTGCAACTTATTTTGAATTTATTATCACCGTTTAATCCGTGCGTCGTTCGTTCATTTGTTTTTTTCAAAATAAAACCAAAAATTAAAAAAAAAAAAAAAAAAAAACACAACTATTTTCTTCATTATTTGTCTCCAAAACCAAAATTAAAAAACAAACAATGATTAATTTTTTTCAGTTTTCGATTTTGTGTTTAAATGAAAAATGGAAAAAAAACAGAGAATGGACTAAACCAGGACTAAACCAGGACTAAACCAGGTCTAAACCAGGACTAAACCAGGTCTAAACCGGGACTAAACCAGGTCTAAACCAGGTCTAAACCGGGACTAAACCAGGTCTAAACCAGGGACTAAACCAGGTCTAAACCAGGACTAAACCAGGTCTAAACCAGGACTAAACCAGGACTAAACCAGGTCTAAACCAGGTCTAAACCGGGACTAAACCAGGTCTAAACCAGGTCTAAAACCGGGACTAAACCAGGACTAAACCAGGACTAAACCAGGTCTAAACCGGGACTAAACCAGGTCTAAACCGGGACTAAACCAGGACTAAACCAGGTCTAAACCAGGGTCTAAAAAGGAGGTCTAAACCAGGTCTAACCGGGACTAAACCAGGTCTAAAACCAGGTCTAAACCAGGACTAAACCAGGTCTAAAACCGGGACTAAACCAGGTCTAAACCGGGACTAAACCAGGTCTAAACCAGGACTAAACCAGGTCTAAACCAAAAACCAGGTCTAAACCAGGACTAAACCAGGTCTAAACCAGGACTAAACCAGGACTAAACCAGGTCTAAACCAGGACTAAACCAGGACTAAACCAGGTCTAAACCAGGTCTAAACCAGGACTAAACCAGGTCTAAACCAGGTCTAAACCAGGACTAAACCAGGACTAAACCAGGTCTAAACCAGGACTAAACCAGGACTAAACCAGGTCTAAACCAGGGACTAAACCAGGACTAAACCAGGTCTAAACCAGGTCTAAACCAGGACTAAACCAGGACTAAACCAGGTCTAAAACCAGGTCTAAACCAGGACTAAACCAGGACTAAACCAGGTCTAAACCAGGTCTAAACCAGGTCTAAACCAGGACTAAACCAGGACTAAACCAGGTCTAAACCAGGACTAAACCAGTCTAAACCAGGACTAAACCAGGACTAAACCAGGACTAAACCAGGTCTAAACCAGGACTAAACCAGGTCTAAACCAGGTCTAAACCAGGTCTAAACCAGGTCTAAACCAGGTCTAAACCAGGACTAAACCAGGTCTAAACCAGGTCTAAACCAGGACTAAACCAGGTCTAAACCAGGTCTAAAACCAGGACTAAACCAGGACTAAAACCAGGACTAAACCAGGACTAAACCAGGTCTAAACCAGGTCTAAACCAGGTCTAAACCAGGACTAAACCAGGTCTAAACCTAAAGGTCTAAACCAGACTAAACCAGGTCTAAACCAGGTCTAACCAGGACTAAAACCAGGTCTAAACCAGGACTAAACCAGGACTAAACCAGGACTAAACCAGGTCTAAACCAGGACTAAACCAGGTCTAAACCAGGTCTAAACCAGGACTAAACCAGGTCTAAACCGGGTCTAAACCGGGACTAAACCGGGTCTAAACCGGGACTAAACCGGGACTAAACCAGGTCTAAACCGGGACTAAACCAGGACTAAACCAGGACTAAACCGGGACTAAACCGGGTCTAAACAAGGACTAAACCGGGTCTAAACCAGGTCTAAACCAGGACTAAACCAGACAAAGTGATGAAGCCGTTTGTTTGTGGTGGAAAATATCAGTTTGATTCTCAGAAGTTTGACAGGAAACGTGCAGCTCTTCAACCACTGACCACAAGAACAACCAGACCTGAAACTCTGCACCAGCTTCACCCTCCGTCTGCACCAGGACCAAGACCAGGACCAAGACCAAGACCGAGACCAAGACCAAGACCAAGACCAGGACCAAGACCAAGACCAGGACCAAGACCCCTGACCAACCAAGACCAGACCAAAAGACCAGGACCAAGACCAAGACCAGGACCAAGACCAAGACCGAGACCGAGACCAAGACCAGGACCAAGACCAAGACCAAGACCAAGACCAAGACCAAGACCGAGACCAGGACCAAGACCGAGACCAGACCAAGACCAGGACCAAGACCAAGACCAAGACCAGGACCAGGACCAGGACCAAGACCAAGACCAGGACCAAGACCAAGACCAAGACCAGGACCGAGACCAGGACCAAGACCAAGACCGAGACCAAGACCAAGACCAGGACCAAGACCAGACCTGAAACTCTGCACCAGCTTCACCCTCCGTCTGCACCAGGACCAAGACCAGACCAGACCAAGACCAAGACCAAGACCAAGACCAGGACAAGACCAAGACCAGGACCAAGACCAGACCAGGACCAAGACCGAGACCAAGACCAAGACCAGACCAAGACCAAGACCAAGACCAGGACCAAGACCAAGACCGAGACCGAGACCAAGACCAAGACCAAGACCAAGGACCAAGACCAAGACCAAGACCAAGACCAGACCAAGACCAAGACCAGACCAGACCAAGACCAAGACCAGACCAGGACCAGACCAAGACCAAGACCAGGACCAAGACCAAGACCAAGACCAGGACCAAGACCAGGACCAAGACCAAGACCGAGACCAAGACCAAGACCAGGACCAAGACCAGACCTGAAACTCTGCACCAGCTTCACCCTCCGTCTGCACCAGGACCAAGACCGAGACCAGGAGACCAAGACCAAGACCAAGAAGACCAAGACCAAGACCAAGACCAAGACCAGGACCGACCAGACCAAGACCAGGACCAGACCAAGACCAAGACCAAGACCAGGACCAAGACCAAGACCAAGACCAGACCAGGACCAAGACCAGGACCAAGACCAGGACCAGAGACCAAGACCAGGACCAAGACCAGACCAAGACCAAGACCAAGACCAAGACCAGGACCAAGACCAAGACCAAGACCAAGACCAGAGACCAAGACCAAGACCAGGACCAAGACCAGACCTGAAACTCTGCACCAGCTTCACCCTCCGTCTGCACCAGGACCAAGACCGAGACCAGGACAAAGACCAAGACCAAGACCGAGACCAAGACCAGGACCAAGACCAAGACCAGACCAAGACCAAGACCAGGACCAGACCAAGACCAGACCAAGACCAAGACCAAGACCAGGACCAGGACCAAGACCAAGACCAGGACCAAGACCAAGACCAAGACCAAGACCAGGACCAGGACCAAGACCAGGACCAAGACCAGGACCAAGACCAGGACCAAGACCAAGACCAGACCAAGACCAAGACCAGGCAAGACCAAGACCAAGACCAAGACCAAGACCAAGACCAGGACCAAGACCAGACCTGAAACTCTGCACCAGCCTCACCCTTCGTCTGCACCAGGACCAAGACCAAGACCAGGACCAAGACCAACACCAACACCAAGACCAGGACCAAGACCAGACCTGAAACTCTGCACCAGCTTCACCCTCCGTCTGCACCAGAGCCAAGACCAAGACCAAGACCAAGACCAACACCAACACCAAGACCAGGACCAGGACCTTCACTGTCCAACAGGGGTCCCCCAAGGTAGCATTTTAGGACCTATTATATTCAGTTTATACATCAATGATCAGTGTCCAGCTTTGTGCTGGCGACGCTGTGATTTTTACACAGGCCAAAACTGTACAAGAAGCTTCAGAAAAGTTCACATCAGCCATGACTCATGTCCAAAAGTGGGTCAAGAATTCATGCTTGCAACTCAACATAAAGAAAACTGTCTGCATGATGTTCAGCAAAAAAACTACTGACCTACAGCGTCCAGTGTGTTTGTGGACGAGGTGGAACTCAGCCTCGTCAAAGAGTTTAAATCCCTGGGACTGACGCTGGACCCGACATTGACTTTTAAAGGTTGTATGGAGGATTTTATTTTATTTTTTATTTTTTTTCAAATTGTCAATGAAAGTTTAAAATACCATTACAGAGACGCAGCAGCTTTGTAATTATAATGACCAAAAAAAAAATAATGAAAATCTATCAACTGTGGACGTGTTGAGGACAGATAAACATCAGCCAATAGAAAACGAGGCTCCCTCATTTTCTATTGGCTGTTAGGTTGTCAATCAAACTCCCTAGTGTAACTGAGTCGTCGGCGCGCGGGGATTATGTGGTTTATGCAGCGGTTCTTAGAGGCTTTTTCAAACTGTCGCTTCCTCGCATTTCGCACAAAGTTTGTCGCGACGGCGGACGAGAATCCACGACCAGTTCGCCGCAAAAGAAAGTCCGTTTTTGAGGTCGCTGAAAGAAGAAGAGAAGAGGAAAAGGAGCGAAGACAAACTGAGGTGATTCTTGGAGATTCATTCCAGCGATGGTGCGAATGAAACAGACGAAGGGTCTAAAAACTGACGCGTCGGTCGATAAATTACCTCTAGACAGGAAACTTCAACAGTGATTCTGAACGAGCACAAGGACGGTCGCTGTATTTCTCTTTAAAAAATCCTCTATACAAACTTTAAGAAACACGTGAAGCGCCAAACAAAAACTGTTCATTTTAACATAGTGAATTTTAGACAAGTCAGATCTTTTATGACTTTACACGAATGTTTTTACTCCATGATTGTGTCTCATATAGAGACTCGCAGAACCACACGGTCACTCGCTGCTGGAACAAAACTCAAACCCATCGAATCACTTTTTAAAAAGCCATAAAAATATTGGACAAGAAACCATTCTCATTTCACCACCGCACTATTTTAGACAAGTATAATCTACTTCATTTTAATCATTTTATTGGTTTTAAATAGGGATGTTTTGTCTATAAAGTTTTGCATGGACTTGTCCCTCCTCCATTACAGGATTTAATTAAAGTAAAGACTGTGACGTCCACACAGACTCACACACTCACACAATGTGTGTCTAAGGCCACGTTCAGACTGCAGGGCTTAATGTTCAATTCTGATTTTTTTGTGAAATCTGATGTTTTTTCGAGGTCGTTCACATTTCCAGTTAAATGTGACTTGTATGTGACTCCAGTGTGAACATTAAACGGTCCAAAAGTGTCCCACATGTGACACTGGAGACACGACGACGTCAACCGCAGCGAGCGTCTCTGTGTTTACACAAGTTGAACAAACATGGACGCAGCATCGAGCACCTGGAGATTTTAAAGTTCCTCTCGTACCGGAGCCACAACATGAACAACTGACTTGTTTTAAGGAGGAGATTGAGAAGGAGAAGGAGCAGGTTTTTGGTGGTGGTGTTTTGTGGTGAGTGGAGATGTGCTTCACTTCAGTCACATGGATCATGAACAGTTTTCTCTACTTCAGTGCAGAATAGTGACGTTTGTGTCTTGTTGATGACGTGTAGGTGGATGAATGTGACCTGACTGTTCACACTCAAGTCACATGTTAAAGATCAGATATGGATCAGTTTCAGGAGCACAGATCCAAGGCTGCGTTCAGTCTGCACCTGAAGTGACCCAAATCCCATTTTTTGGCTTCTATGTTCCTGTATCCGATCTTTTAATGTCAGTCTGAACCACACAGATCCGAATTTTTCAAATGTGACCCAGGACCACTTGGATCTGTGCTCCTGAATCCGATACATATCTGATCTTTTGACATGTGACTTCAGTCTGAACGGCCAAAGTGCATCCATCCACCTACACGTCATCAACAAGCGACAAACGTCACTATTCTGCGCTGAAGCAGGCGGAAACTGGAACTGTAAAATCTCCAGGTGCTCAATGCTCACGACCATATTTGGACAACTTGTGTAAACACAGAGACGCTCGCTGCGGTTGACGTCGTCGTGTCTCCAGTGTCACATGTGGGACACTTTTGGACCGTTTAATGTTCACACTGGAGTCACATACAAGTCACATTTAACTGGAAATGTGAACGACCTCGAAAAAAAATCAGATTTCACAAAAAAAATCGGAATTGAGCGTTAAACCTGCAGACTGAACGTAGCCTAAGTGTCCTGGGTCATGTTTGAAAAAATCAGATCTGTGTGGTTCAGACATTAAAAGATCAAATACAGGAACATAGAGACAAAAAAATCAGATTTATGAACTTCAGGTGCATCTGAACGCAGCTTTAGTCAGAGGAACAACATTTTGGAACAATCTGTCACTGTCAATAAGAGAAACTCCAACTCTTGCCACCTTCAAGTCCAACTTAAAAGAGCGGCTAAAGAAAAACCAGACTTGTGGGCACTTTTAGTTTAGATTTGTTACTTGTTTTTGCTTTGTTTAAATTTGTGGTGTTTCCTGCCGAGGGACGACAGATGGAAATGAGCAGTTTTGCTCTAATCTGTCATATTTACACTGTGATGTTGGAGATGTTCATGAATCTGCACCGTCCCTGTTCAATAAAGAAATAAAACTTCACAATCGACAGTTTTTCACATGGGCCCATTTTTTTTTTGGATCTGGTTTGGTGTGATTATTGTGACGCTGCCCAGACTCAAGAGTTTTTCTTCTGACTCAGCGACGAAAAAGTGGAAAAAAATGTAAAAAAATGTGAGATTTGCTCAGAGTTCGGGCAGAATCCCAAACTCATCACCGTTTCCTCAAAAAAACACATTTACACGTCAGAAAAATACAGAAACTCATTCAGAAATGATCAGTCACCAGAAGAATCACCTCCAAAAATCTCTAAATCTTAAAGTCTCTCTCTCCCTTCTCTCTCTCTCTTCTTTCTCTCTCTCTCTCCCTCCTCTCTTTCTCCTTTTCTCTCTCTCTCTTCTTTCTCTCTCTCTCTCCCTTCTCTCTTTCTCCTTTTCTCTCTCTCTCTCCCTTTCCCTCTCTCTCTTCTTTCTCTCTCTCTCTCCCTTCTCTCGCTCTCCCTCTCTCTCCCTTCTCTCTTTCTCCCTTTCCCTCTCTCTCTTCTTTCTCCCTTTCTCTCTCTTTCCCTTCTCTCTCCCCCTTTCTTTCTCTCTCTCTCTCCCTCCTTTCTCTCCCTCTCCTCTCTCTCCCTTCTCTCTCTCCCTCTCCCTTTCTCTCGCTCTCCCTCTCTCTCTCCCTTTCTCTCTCTCTCTCCCTTCTTTTTCTCTCTCCCTTCTGTCTCTCTCTCTCTCCCTCCCTTCTCTCTCTCTCTTTCCTCTCTCTCCCTTCCTCTCTCTCTCTTTCTCCCTCTCCCTTTCTCTCTCTCTCTCCCTTTCTCTCCTTCTCTCTCTCTCCTTCCTCTCTCTCCCTCTCTCTCTCTCTTTCTCCCTCTCTCTTCTCTCTCTCTCTCTCCTTTCTCTCTCTTTCTCTCTCTCCGTTCTCTCTCTCTTTCTCATCGGGGATTTCTGAGGTTTTTGTGTTTTTCACTTGGAGAGAAAATAGACGAGAGGAAAAGATGAAGGAGAGGAAAGAGGAGAGGAAAGACGAGAGGAAAGACGAGAGGAAAGACTTGAGGCTCCGAGTCTAAAAATAAAAACCCGGAGAATAAAAGATGAAAATCCTGTGACGGTAAAAAGTGAAAAAAGAAAACAGGAAGAGTCCAGAGAAACAATGGATGAGTCACTTCAGACAGACGACAAGAAGAACAGGAGATGAGACGGAGGTGAAGAAGAGGAGAGAGAGAGGAGAGAGAGAGATGAGAGAGGAGAGAAACAGAGGATAGAGAGAGGGGGAGAGAGAGAGGAGAAAGACAGAAGAGAGGAGGGAGGAGAGAAAGAGAAGAGAAACAGAGGAGAGAAAGAAAGGACAGAAAGGAGAGGAGAGAGAGAGAGAGGGGGGAGGGAGGAGAGAAAGACGAGAGAAAAGAGAGAAGAGGAGAGAAAGAGGAGAAACAGAGGAGAAAGGGAGGAGAGGAGAAAACGAGGAGAGAGAGAGAGGAGAAAGAAAGGAAAGAGAAGAGAGCAGGAAGAAGAGAGACAGGGGAGAGAGAGGAGAAAGGAGAGAGAGAGAAGAGAAAGAAAGGAGAAAGAGAGGGGAGAGAGAACCGAGAAGAAAGAGGAGAGAAAGAGAGGAGAAAGGAGAGAGAGAGAGAGAAGAGACGCAGGAGAGAGAGCAGAGGAGAGGAGTGAGAGAAGAGAGTGAGGAGGGAAGAGAGGAGAGAAAGAAAGGACAGAAAGGAGAGGAGAGAGAGAAGAAAGAGAGAGGAGGGAGGAGAGAAAGAGAAGAAACAGAGGACAGAGAGAGAGGAGAGAGAGAAGAGAAAGAAAGGAGAGAGAGAAAGAGTGAAGAGAGTGGAGAGAAAGAGAGGAGAGAGTGAGGAGAGAGAGAGAAGAGAGAGAGTGAAGGAGAAAGAGGTGAGAAAGAGAGAAGAGAAAGAGGAGGGAGGAGAGAGAGAGAAAGAGGAGAGAAAAGAGGAGAAACAGAGGAGAGAAAGAAGAGAAGAGAGAAGAGAGAGAGAGTAAGGAGAGAGGAGAAAAGAAGTGAGAGAAAAAAAGAGAAAGAGTTTTCCTGATCCAAAAACCAGAACAGGACCAGAACCAGGACCAGACCAGACCAGGACCAGAACCAGAACCAGGACCAGGACCAGACCAGGACCAGACCAGGACCAGGACCAGAACCAGGACCAGGTCCAGACTTTCACTGACAAAACTTCTCCTAAACAGAAAAAAACTTGAAAAAGAAAAAGTCTCCTGATGTTTCCGCGTCTGAGGAGAAACATCATCACAGAAACACGTCACTGATTCATCTGGAATGTTCCACAGTGCAGCTTTAAAACCTCTTTATCTCCACGGAGACCGAACCAGACGCAGTCGCGGGTCAGATCTGTGGAGAGGCGTGCGGCTGTTTAAAGTCACACTGTGGAACATTCCAGACAGAACGACCACGTCTCCATAGAAACAAAACAGACGAAAAGTTACACAGTGAAGAAAAGTTCATTAGACCTGGTTTAGATCTGGTTTAGACCTGGTTTAGATCTGGTTTAGATCTGGTTTAGATCTGGTTTAGATCTGGTTTAGATCTGGTTTAGACCTGGTTTAGATCTGGTTTAGACCTGGTTTAGATCTGGTTTAGACCTGGTTTAGTCCTGGAGAACATGTTTAGATAGAAAGAAAGAAAGATAAATAGACAGATAAATAAATAATAAATAAATAAAATAAATAGATAAAAAAAAAAAAATAGACAGATAAATAAATAAATAGATAAATAAATAGACAGATAAATAAATAATAAATAAACATAAATAAATAAATAAAATAAATAGATAAAAAAATAAATAGACAGATAAATAAATAAATAAACAGATAAATAAATAGACAGATAAATAAATAAATAATAAATAGACAGATAAATAAATAGATAAATAAATAGATAGACAGATAAATAAATAAATACACAGATAAATAAATAATAAATAAACATAAATAAAATAAATAGATAAAAAAATAAATAGACAGATAAATAAATAAATAGATAGATAAATAAATAAACAGATAAATAAATAGACAGATAAATAAATAAATAGACAAATAAATAAATAAATAGATAGATAGATAAATAAATAATAAATAAACATAACTAAAATAAATAGATAAAAAATAAATAGACAGATAAATAAATAAATAAATAAATAGATAAATAAATAAATAGATAAATAAATAGACAGATAAATAAATAAATAGAGAGAAAGGAAGAAGTATAGACAGACAGATAGATGGACAGATGGATGGATGGACAGATAGATGGATGGATAGATAAATAGATAGATGGATGGATGGATAGATGGATGGACAGACAGCAGAATCAGTAAAGACGTGGTGAAGGCCTCAGCAGCAGCTCCAAGAACATCTGCTCCACATCTGCTCCACATCTGCTCCACATCTGCACACGAGCCGCACAAACCAAACCAAAAACAACAAAAAACTACTGGAACATTTACACACAAACACACACACACACAATCACACACACACACACACACATACACACACACAGATGTTGTAAATCACAGGTGTCAAACATACGGCCCGGGGGCCAGATCCGGCCCTCCAAGACCTTTAATCTGGCCCTCGGCTGATTTTCTACTCAAATATTTGAATGATATTTTCTATTAAAATCTTGTTAATTTTGTGTGGTGTTTATCACAGCAGCGTCTCCAGCGTCTCTGTACGTGGCCCCTCCCACCAGAGCAGCACAAATGAAGACTTGTCTCTTTCCAAACGCTCTTAAAGGACGATCGTTTTGACTGTTGACCGTGACACCCTCATCAGAAAAATGTCCAACATGAGAAAAGTGGAGCCGAGTGCAGGATTTTACAACAAAAATGGACTTATTCCTGTTTACAGACAAGTTCATGTTCAAACTTTGTGTTGAAATTGTATTTTTCTTCAAGTTTCAGGTTGTTCATAATATTATATTTTGTAAAAGAAAGAGTTCATCAATTTAAAAAAGATTTCTGTAATAGATTTGTGTTTCTCTGCACAAATATTTGAACTTCTTGTTATTTTTGGGGTTTATATGACATGAGTTTTCTGATCCGGACACTTTGGATCAAAGTTGGTTGGACAAGACCCCGGAACAAAATGAGTTTAACTCTCCTGGTGTAAATAAAAGGTGTGTAGATGAGTTCAACCTGGACTCTCTTGAATCTCTCTGTAAGTGGAAGTGTCGACCTTTTATCCTCTGAAGTAAAATCACAATGAAACACGTGAAAATGTCTAAAATAAAAAACTCTGAGATTCACTCCCACAGTGTTGATGTTTTGACTCTGGATCTGGACTCTGGTGTGAGGCTGAAACCTGAAGCTCTGAGGAGCTCCACAGTTTGTTTGAACGTCTGATGTTGTTTTGTTGCTCTCGTCTTTGTACATTCTTGTGTTTAGTGTTTCTGAAATACTTTGTGTTTTATTTTCTAAATTATTTGTTTTAGAAATAAACTCTGTGTTTGTGTGTGTGTGTGTGTGTGTGTGTGTGTGTGTGTGTGTGTGTGTGTGTGTGTGTGTGTGTGTGTGTGTGTGTGTGTGTGTGTGTGTGTGTGTGTGTGTGTGTGTGTGTGTGTGTGTGTGTGTGTGTGTGTGTGTGTGTGTCTGTGTGTGTGTGAGTGTGTGATTATTAATATTATTTTATTATATACAGAGTAGTTACACACACACACACACACACACACACACACAGACACACACACACACACACACACACACACACACACACACACACACACACACACAGACACACACACACACACACACACATACACACACACACACACACACACACACACACACACACACACACACACACACATACACACACACACACACACACACACACACACACACACACAGACACACACACAACACACACACACACACAGACACACACACACACACACACACACACACACACACACACACACACACACACACACACACAGACACACACACACACACACACACACACACACACACACACACACACACACACACACACACACACACACACACACACACAACACACAACACACACACACACACACACACACACACACACACACACACACACACACACACACACACACACACACACACACACACACACACACACACACACACACACACACACACACACACACACACACACACACACACACACACACACACACACACACACACACACACACACACACACACACACACATACACACACACACACACACACACACACACACACACACACACACACACACACACACACACGTACTCTCTAGATAAAACCTGCTACTTCACAAATAGTTCTGGTTTAGTCCTGGTTTAGTCCTGGTTTAGTCCGGGTCAGTTTTTGTTTAAATTGGCTCAAATCTCAGTTTTTGTTTAAATCGCGGCTCAAAAACAAAACGTGAGAATTTACGTCCGACTGAAGCGCACGTCGCGCGCACTCACCTGTCCTCGTGCAGCTCTCCACGGTCGGTCACGTGGTCACACCTGTGTGGTCCCGGAGAGCATCGCGGCTCCTTTACGACTCTTTCAGGGGCTCCTTCACGGCTCTTTGACGGCTCCTTCGCGGCTCCTTCGCGGCTCGTTGTGTCCGTGGGATCGCGCTCGTGACACTTCCTCCGCGGCGCGTTCTCGGCCCGTGGCGTAACTTCCTGACGCGCGGGGCTGTTGCGAAGCCGCTGCGGGGCGTGGGGCATGTGCGCGTGCGTGTGTGCGCGTGCGTGTCCTCGGGGTTGAGCAAGAGCCCGGGGGGGGGGGGAGGAGGAGGAGGAGACCCGTGGGAGAGGAGGAGGGAGGAGAGCCACAGGAGCCACAGGAGCCACAGGAGCCGGGACACGCGCTCCTCCTCCTCTTCTTCTTCTTCATCGCGCGTGAATATGGAGCGCGTGCGTGGAGCGTGCGTGTGTGTGTGTGAGGCGCGTGCGTGTGGCGCGTGTGTGGACATGTCCGCGGTTTGATGAAGTCGTTTTTGCGTCATGATCCGGAGTTACGCAGCAACAGAACCGAACAGAACCGAACAGAACCGGTCCAGACAAGATCCGAACTCAACAAACACAAAAACACAAAAACACAAGAAAACTCTGAGTCTGAGGAACAAACAGTGTTGTGGAGTAATAGATTACATGTACCGGAGTTATGTAATCAGAGTACAAATGATGAGTAACTGTATTCAGTTACAGTTACTGTTTCAGTGAGTGGTAATTGGATTACAGTTACTTTGTTGAAATAAATGGATTAAACAGAGGGATTTTACTGTTTTTACATTTCGGGATAAACCAGGTTTAAACCAGGACTAAACCAGTTCTAAATCCTGCTGTGTGGACGTGTTTCTTCGTCTTTTATCAATAATATTTTTAATTTGGTTCAGTAAAGTTTGGACTTTTTATTTTCTTTTATCAGACAAAACTTCTTATGTGAAGATTTCCTCGTCTTTGTTTCTCTACAGCAAATCAAGTAATCCAAAGTAATCAGATTACATTACTCACTTTAAGTAATTTAATGGATTCTGTTACAAACTACATTTTGGTGTGTGTAATCTGTAATCTGTAGGGGATTACATTTTAAAAGTAAACTTCCCAACACTGGGAACAACTGACACCAGAGACACAGAGACTCGGACACACGGCGCCCCCTGGTGGACACACGGTGAACACAACATCACGGTTTACAAAGATTTAAAACTCCAGATTTTTCGTCCCACTCGTTTCCCTCGTGACACAAACGGATCCAGCTGCATAAAAGTGAAATAAAATCAAACTCAATCTTTTTTTTTTAATACTTTCAATCAGCTCAGATCCTTTGTTTACTTTTATTTGGTCCAAACACATCAAGACATTATCAAACTTTTAAAACAATATTTTTAGATTATACGGGACATTTTAGGGGCAAAAGTAAAAAAAAAGTTTAAATGTAAAAACACAAAAAATGCAAAACTTTCTAAAACAAAAGTCCCGTCGTGACACAAACATAATTTATAAAAGTGCAATAAAATAAAACTCAATTAACTTTTTTTTTTTTTAATACATTCAACGACTCAAATCTAAATTTTCATGATTTTTTATTTATTTTTTTAGTCACACTCATACGTTTGTGACACAAACGGTTCAGGCTACATAAAAGTGCAATAAAATAAAACTGAATATAATGAATGAAATGAAATGAACGAATGAAAATAGAACTGAATTAACTTTTTTTTTTTAAATACTTTCAACAGCTTAAATCTTTTGTCTGCTTTTATTTGGTCCAAACATCAAGAAATCAACAAACTTTCATGAATATTTTTATTTATGGGACATTTTAGGTGCAAAAGTCACAATTTTTTACATGTAAAAACACAAAAACTACAAAATGTTCTGTCAGAAGTGGATTATTTGAGTTGATGTTCTTAGAGTCTCACACGTGTCAAACATTTATAACAACACTGATTTTGGGGCAAAAAAACAACAACAACAAACAGTTCCTGCTTTATAAAAGTGCTATAAAATAAAAATTAACACTTTTTTTTACTTTCAATGACTGAAATCTTTTGTTTAGTTGTTTTCTGTCCAAATCATCCAACTTCTGTGAATATTTTCAGGTAGGGCCATTTTATGAGCAAAAGTCACAATTTTTTAGACGTAAAAACACAAAAACTGCAACATTTTCTAAAATAAAAGTCTGAGGTGGATTATTTGAGTTGATGTTCTTAGAGTCTCATGTGTCAATCATTTATAACAACTGTGTTTTTGCAGCAGATTCATTTTTATCCCTTTTGCAAACACAGAACATTTCCTGCACTAATAAAGTCTTTTTGTGACTTTTCTAACACAAATTAAAATTCTCATTTGGATTTTACGCTTTGAAACCAAAACTCTGTCTGCAGAACAACATTTAAACTTGTAATTCACATTTGAGAGACTGAAAAGGCAAAATAAACTGGAACAGACACGACACGAGCCGTCAAACGTTTTAAAACACCCTGATTTTTCCACTTATTTATTGCAGCTCAAGTCGTGCAAATCCAATCGAAACGATTCAAAGGAAAAAACTGAACAGACACAGGTTTAAAAAAAAAGCTAAAAGAACAAAACCCAAGTCCAAGTTCTGCCAAAACCACCACAGGAAAAAAGAACAAGACGGTAAAGTTTGAAAACCTGCACAGTCCAGACTGAAGACTGAAGAGTGAAGCAACCGACAAGTGTCACACATTTATGGAAACTTCTGCCACAGACTCGGGAAGAACTTTCTCAACAATATTTGATTTGTGTTGTAAAAAGAACAAACCACGACTGTGTTCAGAATAAGTTTTGTTCAACAGTAAAAAAAACTGGAAAAAGTGTGGTTTTCTAAAACTTCTGACTGTCGTTTGTGGACATAAAACTGACACTTTTCATACGTTTTTCTGAGCATTAAACTGTTTTATTAAGTAAATCTTTATTTATATAACAATTTTCACAGACATTTTCTGTCCCCAAAGACACACAGACACACACACACACACACACACACACACACACACACACACACACACACACACACACACACACACTCACACACACACACACACACACACACACACACACACACACACACACACTCACACACACACACACACACACACACACACTCACACACACACACACACACACTCACACACACACACACACACACACACACACACACACACACACACACACCACTTTCATGTGTGTTCAATGTGTGTGAAGTGTCTTGCCTAAGGACACAATGATTGAATTGATTGTTTTTAACTGATCTTGACCATCAACTGTTCTGGACCTGGAGCAGGTTTTGGGTTGATGGAGGAGCTCGGAGTAGAGCCGCTGCTCCTCCACGTGGAGAGGAGCGTCTGAGGGGAGGACGTCTGTTCTGACGTCTCCTGGACGTGTCCCTCAGGAGGTGTTCATGTCCCACCAGGAGGAGGAGACCCAGGACACACTGGAGGGACCATGTCTCTGGACTGGACTGGGAACACCTCAGGTCCCACTGGAGGAGCTGGAGGAAGTGTCTGGGGTGAAGGAAGTCTGGGAGTCTCTGCTTAGACTGATGCCCCCGAGATCTGACCCTGGATAAGTGGAAGAAGATGGATGGATGAGGGAAACCATCCAGACACGGGGAGAAACATGCAAACTCCACACAGAAAGGACCAGAACCTTCTTGCTGTGAGGCATGAGTGCTAGACACTCAGCCACCATGCTGCCTTATTATCTCCATGAGTGTGATTGTGTGTGGAGGCCTCAGGTCTGTGGATCAGGTCACAGTTGAAGTTCTGCAGAGGTTCTGTCTGTGAGGAGCTTCTGGAGCTTCTGGAGCTTCTGGAGGTTCTGGAGGGTCTGGAGGTTCTGGAGGTTCTGGAGCTTCTGGAGCTTCTGGAGCTTCTGGAGCTTCTGGAGAGCTTCTGGAGGTTCTTCTGGAGGTTCTGGAGGTTCTGGAGGTTCTGGAGGCTTCTGGAGCTTCTGGAGCTTCTCGACTGACGCTCTGATGTCACTGAGACTTTTGTAGTTTCTCTCCTGGTCAGTGTCACAGATCCTCGAGACCAGAGTTTCACAAAGACTCAGACTCAGGTCTGCCGCAAGAGATTCTTTTTTTTTCGGTCCTGATCCGCGTGTAGATGTGTGATATTCACTTCTGACACATGAGGGCGCCAGAGAGTCAGTGGATCTTCTGCTCTGAGCCAGTTTCCTGCTGATAAAGTTGAGAAATGCAGCTTGTTTGTCCAAAAAGAGCAAAGGTCAAAGCTCTTCAGGATATTTATGGATCCTTTTATTGCTGCTTCAGTGTTTCTCACGGTTTAAAACTTGAGTAAAACTAAATGTTCAGAGACACACAACAATAAAATCTCCTCATCAATGTTTAATAATGAAAAAAATCCACCTTTATTTTTTTGATTTACAAATAATGTCGATTGACTCGGGTCACAGAGGTTTGAGACTTTTAAAATATGTTTAGAGAATCTACAGAGACACTGAGTGACAGAGAAGGATCTAGAATCACCTCTGTCAGACTCTGGACGCACCAGGTCGTCTCAGCCGAGTCTCAGTCGAGTCTCAGTCGAGTCAGATGGATCTGGATCTGGTTTGTGGAAGGAGGATCTGATGAAAATGTGTGGAGACAAAACTTCTGTGTGAACAAAGACGAACTTGAAGCTTTTGTGTCGTCGTCTGCAGCAGTTTTCCTCCTGAAAAAACTCGACTGAACAGAGAAGAAAAAGTGAAGACGCGACGACACTTTTGTTTCTTCTGTTCAGACGTCGTCGTATAAACCCAGACTGAGACTCGTGTGTTACACAGAAACAGAATCAGAACAAAAATATTTTTACAAAAACACAACCAATGAAACGTGGGATTTTGATTAGAATTTAAAGAAACTATAAAGACATTTTGACTAAAGCTGCGTTCAGTCTGCACCTGAAGTTTCCCAAATCTGATTTTTTGTCTCTATGTTTCTGTATCTGATCTTTTAATGTCTGAACCACACAGATGTGATGTTTTCACATGTGACCAGGACACTTGGATCTGTGCTCCTGAAACTGATCCATATCTGATCTTTAACATGTGACTTGAGTGTGAACAGTCAGGTCACATTCATCCACCTACACGTCATCAACAAGACACAAACGTCACTATTCTGCACTGAAGTAGAGAAAACTGTTCATGATCCATGTGACTGAAGTGAAGCACATCTCCACTCACCACAAAACACCACCACCAAAAACCTGCTCCTTCTCCTTCTCAATCTCCTCCTTAAAACAAGTCAGTTGTTCATGTTGTGGCTCCGGTACGAGAGGAACTTTAAAATCTCCAGGTGCTCGATGCTGCGTCCATGTTTGTTCAACTTGTGTAAACACAGAGACGCTCGCTGCGGTTGACGTCGTCGTGTCTCCAGTGTCACAGGCAGAGTTGGGAAGTTTACTTTTAAAATGTAATCCCCTACAGATTACAGATTACACACCCCAAAATGTAGTTTGTAACAGAATCCATTAAATTACTTAAAGTGAGTAATGTAATCTGATTACTTTGGATTACTTGATTTGCTGTAGAGAAACAAAGACGAGGAAATCTTCACATAAGAAGTTTTATCTGATAAAAGAAAATAAAAAGTCCAAACTTTACTGAACCAAATTAAAAATATTATTGATAGAAGAACGAAGAAACACGTCCACACAGCAGGATTTAGTCCTGGTTTAAGTTCCTGGTTTAGTCCTGGTTTAGTTCTGGTTTAGTCTGGTTTAGTTCTGGTTTAGTCCTGGTTTAGTTCTGGTTTAGTTCTGGTTTAGTTCTGGTTTAGTCCTGGTTTAGTCCTGGTTTAGTTCCTGGTTTAGTCCTGGTTTAGTTCTGGTTTAGTCCTGGTTTAGTCCTGGTTTAGTCCTGGTTTAGTTCTGGTTTAGTTCTGGTTTAGTTCTGGTTTAGTCTGGTTTAGTTCTGGTTTAGTTCTGGTTTAGTTCTGGTTTAGTTCTGGTTTACTCAGCTCTTTATCTGATATTTAGAAATTATTTTTATTTAATTATGAGTTAATAAAGTTCTGAAAAAAAAAAAAAATCTTGTCTTTTCTTCTTTTTTATTTTTCTTTTCATTTTTCACATTTATTATTATTATTATTTATCGGTTTAAATTTGATTATTTCACATTAGGAGGAAACGACATTAGAACAGATCAGAAAAAACAGCCTTTACAGGTCAGATCTGCGGAGAGGCGACCCCACTCCAGACAAAGACCAGGTGAGTTTAATGCCACACTGCGGGACATTCCAGAGGTCAGAGGCAAACGCACAAAAACACCACACAAAAACTCAACTCAAAACCTGAAAAAAAAAAAAAAACCCGATTTCATTTGCAGTAGTTTCGTTGGAGGGTGGCGCTCTGAAGGGGGAGTGACTCAGCAGAGGGAGGCGAGACTCAGAGCCACAAAAAGTCAAAAGAAAAAAATCTGAAAACGACGTGAAACTTTTTCAAAACAATAAAAGAAACAAGACGATTTCAATATGGTAAAATAAAACCTGATTCAGTCCTGAAATAGTCCTGGTTTAGTCCTGGTTTTCCTGGTTTAGTCCTGGTTTAGTCCTGGTTTAGACCTGGTTTAGTCCTGGTTTAGTCCTGGTTTAGACCTAGTTTAGTCCTGGTTAAGACTTGGTTTAGTCCTGGTTTAGACCTAGTTTAGTCCTGGTTTAGTCCTGGTTTAGACCTGGTTAAGACTTGGTTTGGTCCTGGTTAAGACTTGGTTTAGTCCTGGTTTAGTCCTGGTTTAGACCTGGTTAAGACTTGGTTTAGTTCTGGTTTAGTCCTGGTTTAGACCTGGTTTAGACCTGGTTTAGACCTAGTTTAGTCCTGGTTTAGTCCTGGTTTAGACCTGGTTAAGACTTGGTTTAGTCCTGGTTAAGACTTGGTTTAGTCCTGGTTTAGTCCTGGTTTAGTCCTGGTTTAGACCTGGTTAAGACTTGGTTTAGACCTGGTTTAGACCTGGTTTAGTCCTGGTTTAGACCTGGTTTAGACCTGGTTTAGACTTGGTTTAGACCTGGTTTAGTTCTGGTTTAGACCTGAGAGATTTTGGTGAAGTCCAGATTTAAGTTTACTTCAAATTTAGTCCATCTTAGATTTAGTTTAATCCAGGTTTAGTCCTGGTTTAGTCCTGGTTTAGTCCAGGTTTAGTCCAGGTTTAGTCCTGGTTTAGTCCTGGTTTAGGTTTAGTCCAGGTTTAGTCCTGGTTTAGTCCTGGTTTAGTCCTGGTTTAGTCCAGGTTTAGTCCAGGTTTCATGACATCAGAATGCTAACTGTAGGCCCTGGTCTGTCTGAAGTTCTGTTTTAAAACCCAAAGTCAAATACAACAATTTAAATAAAAAACAAAAAAACCAAACACATGATAAAAAAATAATAAAAATAAAATAAAAATAAAACACAATTCCACTTTTAAAACTCAGATTCCGTCTCGGTTTTTCCTCGTTTTTCTTGGTTCTTTCAGCCGAGGTCGGAGAAGGTGCTGTCCTGCCGGCTCGTCAGGGTGTAGTCCCGTTTGGTCCGGTTCCGCGAGGGTCTGAACAGGACCCAGAGGAACACGAAGACCACGGACAGGAGACAGAGCAGGGCCGCCCCTGTCACCAGCAGCCAGGTGTGAGTCGCGTCTGTGTGAGGGAGAGCAGCCAGTTTTACACAAGTCTGGACAAAACCTGTTCACAATTTATCTGTTTTGTTTTTGTGAGTCGATTTTTAAAGGTTCGATACGATGTTCTCTTCTCAAAAAACGGTCCTGTCTCGGTCTCGGTCTTTAAAAGTTTTGGTCTTTAAAAGTCTTGGTCTTGTCTCGGTCTTTAAAAGTCTGGGTCTTTAAAAGTCTGGGTCTTTAAGAGTCTCGGTCTTTAAAAGTCTGGGTCTTTAAAAGTCTGGGTCTTTAAAAGTCTCGGTCTTTAAAAGTCTCGGTCTTTAAAAGTCTCGGTCTTTAAAAGTCTCGGTCTTTAAAAGTCTCGGTCTTTAAAAGTCTCGGTCTTTAAAAGTCTCGGTCTTTAAAAGTCTCGGTCTTTAAAAGTCTTGGTCTTTAAAAGTCTCGGTCTTTAAAAGTCTCAGTCTCAGTCTTTAAAAGTCTCAGTCTTTAAAAGTCTCAGTCTCGGTCAGTTTCTTTAAAAGTCTGGGTCTTTAAAAGTCTGGGTCTTTAAAAGTCTGGGTCTTTAAAAGTCTTGATCTTTAAAAGTCTCGGTCTTTAAAAGTCTGGGTCTTTAAAAGTCTGGGTCTTTAAAAGTCTTGATCTTTAAAAGTCTTGATCTTTAAAAGTCTTGATCTTTAAAAGTCTCGGTCTTTAAAAGTCTCGGATCTTTAAAAGTCTCGGTCTTTAAAAGTCTCGGTCTTTAAAAGTCTCGGTCTTTAAAAGTCTCGGTGTTTAAAAGTCTGGGTCTTTAAAAGTCTCGGCCTTTAAAAGTCTTGATCTTTAAAAGTCTCATTCTTTAAAAGTCTGGGTCTTTAAAAGTCTCGGTCTTTAAAAGTCTGGGTCTTTAAAGTCTGGGTCTTTAAAAGTCTTGGTCTTTAAAAGTCTCGGTCTTTAAAAGTCTGGGTCTTGGTCTGAGGAGCAGAAATGTTCCGCAGTGGGGCTTTAGTGACTCACCCTCGGGCCGCAGACTCACGCCCACTTCCTGTCGTCCGCGCCGGTTTTGGGCGACGCACTTTAGCTCCGCCTCCGCGTCCCTCTCTCTCATCTCCATGACGACGAGGGGGAGCTCCACCTGACAGCGCCCCGAAGCCCCGCCCACCCTGGAACAAACACACACACGCCGTCAGAATGTTCCAGAGCGCGGCATTAAACACACCTGTCCCGCGGTTATGCATTTGTGTTCTCCACGGACGTAAATGAGTTTAATGCCAATGTGGATCAGAAAAGTTACACAGTGCATCTTTAAATCTGTGCACTGTTACGTGTTTAAAACAGTTAGAGCTTTTTCAAAATGTGAAGAAGAATCTGAATTTTGTTTTCTACGTTTTTTTGAAACCACAATAAATTAAAAAAAAAAAAGGTTCGGAATTGGCCCTAGTCAAGCTTCCGTCACAAAACTGGAAGATGTTTGGAAACAACTTCCTTTGGGCTCTGTCGGCGATAGGAACTCTGACAAAATATTGGAAAACTGAGAAAATGTCCCAGGTTTCTTCATCTAGAATTTGTTAAATTTAATAAAAAAATTAAAAAAAACTGTTGTGATTGTAGCGTTCTGTTATGTTCATCAGATCGACAGTTTTGATCAGCTTCCTGACGCCGAAGATGCGATGTCGGTAACTACACCAGAAGTGAAAACGTCTTCAGGTAAACGTGAACAGAACCTGTTTCATGTCCTCATGTTTTGTTTTCGAAACCGTCAGAGCTTCATCAAAATGTGCAAGAATTTGAATTTTGTTTTCTACATTTTTTGAAACCACAATAAATAAAAAAACAGGTTTGGAATTGGCTTTGTTCACACTTCCGTCACAAAACCGGCAGATGTTTGGAAACATGTGGATGACGACTTCCTTTGGACTCTGTCGGCGATAGGAACTCTGACAAAATCTCAGAAAAATGGCCTGGTTTTCTTCATCTAGAATTTATCGAATTTAATTAAAAAATTCTGTTCAGATCAACAGTTCCGATCAGCTTCCTGTGAGCGACAACGAAAAAGCGATGTCGGTAACTCTACCGGAAGTCGTCATCGCCGTGTTTCCGAACTTCTCGCGGCGAACGTGACCGGAGTGTTTCGTATCCTCACCTCCTGGCGCCGAGCAGAAATCTCCCGTTCAGGTGCGACGCCTCCAGCGACTCGCCGTTCACCTGCCACGTCACGTCCGTGGACTCGGCCGTCGCGCAGTCCACGAGCACCACGCAGAAGAGCTCCACCGCCGAGCCTACGACAGCGGCACACGGGAAAAAACAGGATTTAAACTCACAACCACAACATACACATTTCACAGGTCAATCATTTTGTCAGTTCTTGTTGAAATAACCTCAAATTTTCACAGAATGTTCAGAAACAGATGAAGATGTTTTATTTTTGTTGTGTTTTCAGGTTGAGTCGTTTTCTCCCAAACAGAATCATTTTGTGTCTTGAATCTGCTGCTCAAACTCACCATTTGGAAAAATTTCAACAAATGGAAAAACGAATTTGGACTTTCAACCAAAAATGTAAAAACGAAGAATCTGGAACCAACGTCGACATCAGAAGAGAAGCAAGAGGAAGGTCGTGAAAAACTCTCGAAGACCCAAGAGTTCGTAAGAAGAACAAGTTTGGAAACCCAGATTCCTCCAGTGAAAATTTGAGCTGATTTCAACAAGAACTGACAAAATTATTGGCCTGTGAAACGACGTCACATTTTTGGGGACAAAAAATAAACCTGAATCTGAACACGTGTGTGAGTTATTTTCTCGTAGATTTACCGTGAGGCGCCTCAAAAACCGTCCCGTCCGCTGGAGACACGATCATAGGAGGATCCCAGTCTGGAGCTGAAAACAAACACAAGGACATGTTTGAAATATGACCAGGATGCCCCGCCCCCTCCTGTCACCTGTCTGTCACCTGTCTGTCACCTGTCTGTCACCTGTCGGTCACCTGTCTGTCACCTGTCGGTCACCTGTCTGTCACCTGTCGGTCCCTGTCGGTCCCTGTCACCAGCCTCTCTTTGTTCTGTCACACTAAACTGACTCCTGTGAGATTTAAATCTTGTTCTATTTCTGTTTCCTCCTCAAAATTCGACCTGGAGTCGTGTTTGTTTCATTCACACGTTTGAGTAAATCTTTATTATTCGTCTGTCTTCATCTCCAAAGCTCCAGACGCTCTGTTCCACCTTGTGATGTCATGAGGAGGACGTTTTCAAGTCTTTAAATCACTTTTGTCTTGACTTATGGAACAATTTTCTACTTTTTCGCCCGTCCACTAATGTGTGCACTGTGTCTCCATGGCAACTGCTGAACACACACTTTAAGTGTAATTCTAGGGACTTACACATTTGTGTGGAGGTCGGCCAAGGGTCAGAGGTCACGGGGGGGTCAGAGGTCACGGGGAGGTCCGGCAGGAGGACACCAGGTTTTTCTGAACAAACAAAAACAGGAAATAAACATGAGAAATTAAGGTTTACTCCGCACCCTTAAAGCCTCAGGTCGGGGAGTTTAAAGCCTCAGGTCGGGGGTGTTTAAAGCCTCAGGTCGGGGTCTTTAAAGCCTCAGGTCATGGGTGTTTAAAGCCTCAGGTCAGGGGTATTTAAAGCCTCAGGTTGGGGTGTTTAAAGCCTCAGGTCGGGGTGTTTAAAGCCTCAGGTCGGGGAGTTTAAGGCCTCAGGTCGGGGGAGTTTAAGGCCTCAGGTCGTTGGCTCTTAAAGCCTCAGGTCGGGGGAGTTTAAAGCCTCAGGTCGTTGGTCTTTTAAAGCCTCAGGTCGTTGGCTCTTAAAGCCTCAGGTCGGGGTGTTTAAAGCCTCAGGTTGGGGAGTTTAAAGCCTCAGGTCGGGGTGTTTAAAAGCCTCAGTCAGGGTGTTTTAAAGCCTCAGGTCGGGGTTTTTAAAGCCTCAGGTCGGGGGTTTTAAAGCCTCAGGTCGGGTGTTTTAAAGCCTCAGGTCAGGGGTGTTTAAAGCCTCAGGTTGGGGTGTTTAAAGCCTCAGGTCGGGGTGTTTAAAGCCTCAGGTCGGGGGAGTTTAAAGCCTCAGGTCGGGGGTTTTAAAGCCTCAGGTCGGGGAGTTTAAAGCCTCAGGTCGTGTTTAAAGCCTCAGGTCGGGGTGTTTAAAGCCTCAGGTCGTTGGCTCTTAAAGCCTCAGGGGGTGTTTAAAGCCTCAGGTCGGGGTTTTTAAAGCCTCAGGTCGGGGTGTTTAAAGCCTCAGGTCGGGGTGTTTAAAGCCTCAGGTCGGGGGGTGTTTAAAGCCTCAGGTCGGGGGTGTTTAAAGCCTCAGGTTGGGAGTGTTTAAAGCCTCAGGTCGAGGGTTTTTAAAGCCTCAGGTCGGGGGAGTTTAAAGCCTCAGGTCGGGGTGTTTAAAGCCTCAGGTCGGGGGTGTTTAAAGCCTCAGGTCGGGGTGTTTAAAGCCTCAGGTCGGGGGTGTTTAAAGCCTCAGGTCAGGGTGTTTAAAGCCTCAGGTCGGGGGTGTTTAAAGCCTCAGGTCGGGGGTGTTTAAAGCCTCAGGTCAGGGTGTTTAAAGCCTCAGGTCAGGGTGTTTAAAGCCTCAGGTCGGGGTGTTTAAAGCCTCAGGTCGGGGTGTTTAAAGCCTCAGGTCGGGGGTGTTTAAAGCCTCAGGTCGGGGTGTTTAAAGCCTCAGGTCGGGGGTGTTTAAAGCCTCAGGTCGGGGTGTTTAAAGCCTCAGGTCGGGTGTTTAAAGCCTCAGGTCGGGGGTTTAAAGCTCAGGTCGGGGTTTAAAGCTCAGGTCGGGGTGTTTAAAGCCTCAGGTCGGGGTGTTTAAAGCCTCAGGTCGGGGTTTAAAGCCTCAGGGTGTTTAAAGCCTCAGGTCGGGGTGTTTAAAGCCTCAGGTCAGGGTGTTTTAAAGCCTCAGGTCGGGGGTGTTTAAAGCCTCAGGTCAGGTCGGGGTGTTTAAAGCCTCAGGTCGGGGGTGTTTAAAGCCTCAGGTCGGGGTGTTTAAAGCCTCAGGTCGGGGGGTGTCTGACCTCGTACGGCGAGCAGGACGGCGGCGCTCACTCCGTACTGTCGCTCCGTCAGCGTGACGGTGGCGCGGCAGCGGTACAGGCCCCCGTGGTCCCTGTGCACCGCCGAGATCTGCAGACGGCCCCCGGACGACACGAAGGGGCCCCGGGCTCCGGACACCTGCAGAGGAAGATTAATGCCGTACTGTGGAACATTCCAGACAAATCTACTTAAGTAAAAGTATTAAAGTTTAAAAATGTACTTCAAGAGTAAAAAGTAAAAGTATTTTGAAGAGGTTTTTTGATTCTCTGTAAATAAAATGAAGAGTAAGAAACAGAGACACACAGGGGACAGAGTGAGAGACGCGTCCCACCTTGTCCCAGTGGACGTGTGTCTCCGAGCGGTTGAAGCTGCTCAGGCCTGGACACCTGAAGGACACAGTTTCCCCCTCGGAGACGCTGATCCTGTACCACAGTTTATCCAAGTGCACGAGCGGAGACGAGTAAACCTGCAGAGACACACGACCGCGCACACACACGCTCTCTGTCCTACACACACACACACACACAGAGAACACACACAGAGACACACAGAGACACACACACACAGAGACACACACACACACACACACACACACACACAGAGCACACACACACAGAGACACACACACACAGAGACACACAGAGACACACAGAGACACACACACACAGAGACGCACACACACACACACACACACACACACACACACACACACACACACAGAGACGACACACACACAGAGACACACAGAGACACACACACACAGAGACGACACACACACACACACACACACACACAGACACACACAACACACACACAGACACACACACAGACATATATTATTATTCAGATTCCTTCTGTTGCTGTGTTCAGACTTTGGCGTCTCGTCTTTGACTCCGTGAACCAACAGGAGATAAATTCGGCTCGTTGGTTCTGGACGCCTCTGCGGTCGGTGAGTGTCGTGTTTTTCCGGTCGAGAGAGTGACTTTAGTGCAGGAGTGTGCAAAAATATCTAAATATCAATATATCGTCTGGTTTAATGTGATGATACAGTATCGATATCGTGTTCTACTGTATCGATATTTCACCAAGAGGAGTTTTTTGGTTTATTTTACTCAATGATTTAGTTCCAGCTCCAGTTTTGTTGTTTGTTCAGAGGAAGGAAACTCTTTTATGCGACACATTTGACATTTTCACTGTTTTGACGGTTTAAACCTTTGTGTTTCATATGAAGAAATGATTTAACAAAGACTTTTAGTGTCACAGACATGTTTTAGACTCAGTGTGTCGAGGTTTGTGTCGTATCGGTGACGTCTTGACGACACCAGCTCTGCTTTAGTGTTTTTATGACATAAACTCCTCCATCAACAAACCTGGAACATCTAAACCTGTCGACAGGGTCTCACCTGTACGTGCAGGTGTACGACCCCGAGTCCGACTCGTGAGCGGGGAGGAGCCACAGCTGCGGCCCCCGCTGCAGGACACGCCCCTCGGCGCCGTGGGCGGGGCTAGAGGTCGTGATGTGGGCGGGGCTGTCGGTGTACTCGGGGGCGGGGCTGTTGGCGTCATTGGTTGCAGGGCTGTTGGGGGCGGGGCTGGCGGTGGCGGAGTCGACGGCGCAGTCGGTCTTGGCGACGAGGACAGAGGCTCCAGACACAGACATGCCTCGGGCTTTAAGGACGCTGTGGAGGAACGGAAAGGACAGAATGACGGGCTCCCCCTCCACACGGAACAACTCCACCTCCGGAGACACGACCAGACACCCGTCTGCACCGACCGCCGACCGCCGACCAGACCCACGAGACAGAGACAGAGACAGAGACAGAGACAGAGACAGAGACAGAGACAGAGACAGAGACAGAGACAGAGACACAGAGACAGAGGACAGAGACAGAGACAGAGACAGAGACAGAGACAGAGACAGAGACAGAGACACAGAGACAGAGACAGAGACAGAGACAGAGACACAGAGACAGAGACAGAGACAGAGACAGAGACAGAGACACAGAGACAGAGACAGAGACACAGAGACAGAGACAGAGACAGAGACAGAGACAGAGACAGAGACAGAGACAGAGACAGAGACAGAGACAGAGACAGAGACAGAGACAGAGACAGAGACAGAGACAGAGACAGAGACAGAGACAGAGGAGACAGAGAGACAGAGGAGACAGATGTTTTACACGTTCTGTGGTTTATAATCTTTCAATTCTTCCTTTGTAAATATTCTCAGATCCAGCTGACGACTCACCTTCCACAGGCAGAGGCAGAGGCAGGCGGCAGGCAGGCGGCAGCGGAGCGGCAGGCAGGAGCGGCAGGCGGCAGGAGCGGCAGGAGCGGCAGGGGCGGCAGGGGCGGCAGGAGCGGCAGGAGCGACGGGCAGGTGGGGCATCCCACTGACGCACGAGGTCACAGACAACAACAGCCACAGCAGCTTCATCTGTACAAACACACGAAGAATGAAACAAGTGAAACATGGGAGGGCATCTGACATTAGTGGGTCATAGAATTTTATAGTATTTCTTAGTATTTCATAGTATTTATTAGTATTTCATATTATTTCATATTATTTATTAGTATTTTATATAATTTCATATTATTTATTAGTATTTATTAGTATTTTGACATTAGTAGTCATAGTATTTCTTAATATTTATATTTCATTATTATTTATTAGTATTTATATTATTTATTATTTATTGGATTTTCATATATTATTTATTAGTATTTATTAGTATTTCTGACATTAGTGAGTCATAGTATTTCTTAATACTTCATATTATTTCATATTACTTTTAAATTTCATATTATTTCATAATTATTTCATAGTAGTTCTTTGTATTTCTTAGTATTTTTTTGTATTTCTGACATTACTGGATCAGAGTATTTTTATTTGTAGCTAAATAAAAAAGAATAATAAAAAAAAAATACTGATAAAAACTATAAAAACAAAAATAATATTCAACAAATGCTGAAATCCTGAACGTGACGAAATATAAAACGTGGAATAATGAGTCACGTCTCGTTCCCTTTTCCACCACAAAAATAAAAAAGTAAATTTAAAGAGAAAACTCTCCTCATTTGTTACGACACTTTTGGAGCTTTGATTTGTGTCAGAATTTCCACGAGTGGCTGAGGAGGTTTCACTTCTGCTGCTGCAGGATTAAAAATAACTGACGTCGTCTTTCCCACCGACCTCAAATGTGTCACGCTCTCAGGGTCATTCCCCACGCCGACGCTGAACTCAAACACCAGCGCACGGAAAGATAC